TCTCAGTTGACTCTGACAGGTCACAGCAGGAAGGTAACGGCAGCGAGGTTCAGTACTTTACTTCATCAGGTGGTGACAGGAAGTGCAGACAGAACCATCAGACTGTGGGATCTGCACAGAGCCGCTTGTGAGTCTCACTTATCAAAGCCTGATCAAAGCCTGATCAAAGCCTGATCAAAGCCTGATGACTGTTTACTGAGCGGTGGACATGTGTGTGCAGGTGTGCAGGTAGTTGAAGTGGCGTCGTACTGCAGCGACCTGGTTTGTTCTGAGAACTGCATCATCAGTGGACACTACGACTGTAAAATCAGGGTCTGGGACTCCAGGTAACACCTGTTCACAGAGTCTCTGGCAGGACAACCAGTAGAATCAGCTTCTAATGAATTCACACATCAGGGAACAGCAAAGAGTAAAGAAACAATAGAATCTGTAGAGAGACAGTTGAAGTAAAGTAGACACAGTAGAGACACAGTAGAATCTGGTCTCCCTCATCGACTCCCATCTTCCTCTGTTACCTAGCAACAGCTCAGTCACAGAATCCCCCCCTCCTTGCTGCTGATTGGATAAGAACATCTTTCACTAGGCTGTGATTGGTCAGAGTGTTTGATCAATGACACATTTTGTCATAGTGACATCATCATCTACATGTTCTCTGATTGGTCGGTTCACATCCAACCAGGAAGATTTATCGGTGAATTATGAGGGTGTTTCTGTTTTTATTTAGCTGTGGCTGAGGGGGTGGAGTCAGAAGGTCAGTGGTTCAATCCCAGCATTCCTCATGCTGAAGCTTTGGGCGAGAGATACTGAACCCCAAACTGTTGTCATAGAGAAAGTCAAACTTCAAGCCAAGTGTCCTGAAGACTAGAAACATTTTTGTAAATACAGTCAGCAGTTATTAACGTGGCTAAAGTGAAGTCCAAGACATTCAGCTTCGCTCCGACAGGAAACATCTCGGAGCAAAAACATCTCAACATCTTCACTCTGGTGATCTGAGATCAGACATGTGAGATGAATGTTGTCGTTCAGGGCGGTGAGCTGCGTTCAGGAACTTCCTGCTCAGGGTAAAGTAACCTCGTTGGACCTCAGCTCCGACCATCGTCAGCTGCTCAGCTGTTGCCGTGACGACTGCCTCCAGCTGGTGGACCTGAGGAGGTGGAGCAACGACCGCACGTGTTTCAGGTGAAGACGTGATGCGGCGTCACGGTTGTTTCAAAACGACGTGCAACAGATGTTCTGAACGTGTTTCTGTCTCCGTCAGAGCTGAAGGGTTCAAATGTGGCAGCGACAGCACAAAGGCCGTCATCAGGTGAGTTCTGCACCACGTTACGTCAGGGACAACATGGTGCAGTTTCCATGACAACAGCGAGACCAGGATGCTTAGGGTTCTCTCTGAGGTTCTAACCTGTGGTTCCTGTTCTTGTGGTTACAGCTGTTTTCAGGTTCTTCTTGTGTCATTAAGATTAAGATTTTGTTTTATTGTCCCACAATCATGCACACACAGCACGACATGCAACATTTAACCCACCCGTGTGAACACAGCACACGGAACACAATCCACACAGTGACCACACGGAGCAGCGGGCAGCCATGAAGGCGCCCGGGGAGCAATTGGGGGGTTCGGTGCCGGTACCTCGGCAGTGCCCAGGAGGTGGACTGGCACCTCTCCAGCTACCAGTCCACCTTTTCATGAATAACATGCTCATTCACTTTGAATGTGGGTGTGGTTCTTATCATTCACCAGCCAATCAAATTATGTTCATGTGAAAGAGAAGGCGGAGTCAGCTGGTGAACCTGGGGTGGATTTCATTTCCCGTGTTCTTCTCTTTATCGTAACTTGATAACTAGCATGGAAAGTTAGCATGAAGAAGTGTTCTGTGTGGAACCGTGTCACAGAGACGTTCTCTCTCTTCAGTCCAGACGGATGTTTCCTGGCTGCTGGATCAGCTGACGGCACAGTTTACATCTGGAACGTCGCCACCGGCAACCTGGAGACCCGCCTCCCTGACAAACACAGGTATCACACAGAAGATCAATTAAATGAATGAATCTAAAATCTGAGGCTCCAGGACGTTCCCTGAGGGACTCCACTTGTTACTTAAGCTTTATCGTCCAGTTTGATTTGGATTTGTTTATCTAATGTTTTTACCTTTTTGTTTTTGAAATAAATTTTATATTTACTCCACATTCATGGTTTTTTTTTCAGCTCACACAATTAGAGAAACAACACAGGAGCCAGTGAATGTGTCAAAAGATAGAATCATAGAAAAGTGGACGATATAATAATTTTTCACAAAAAATGTTTTTGGTGCATTTTTAATGAACGTAAAAGTAAAATGGAATTAAATTACCATTAAATGTTTAAATATTTAACTGTGTAAATGAGACCCAGAATTTTAATGAGACATTACTTTGAAAAGACATAACGATCATTCCTGATTAACAGAATCAACATGCTGCTGAAAAAACAAGGTTCAAAAGGAAGATGAGAGGCTCCAGGACGTTCTCCTGAGGAACGCCACAATATTAAATGTACTGTTTCTTTAACAACCTCCTCCTCTCGCTAGCTCGTCCATCAGCGCCGTGTCCTGGTCTCTGTCGGGAGAATACTTCGTCAGCGTGGACAAGAGTAGGCGGGCTGTCCTCTGGAGCGACATCTGAATCAGCCAATCTGGGAGGAGTTCACATCGTCACGGCAACACCAGTCAGGACATGCCTCCCCTGAACAAACAGACGCAGCTGTTACGTTTATCAGATTCGAATCACAATTAAAGGGAAAACTGTTTGTTTGTAATGTTTCTGTTGCTCCTGACCTTTGACCTCACTTCACATTATTTATTTTATCACCTGCTTCATCTCCTCGTCCATATTTGTTCTGCTCCTCCAGCTCCAGCTCTGTTCATTGATGAAATGATGATGATATGATGAGTTATTCAGCTGGAATCTGACAAATATGAAATATGAGACCAATTCCTGCTAAATAATCTGTCACTGTGGAGTTGAAAGTCTTAGATTTAAAAATGTGAGTTTTCTCTCAGCTGCTGTTTTGTCGCAGCGAGGAGCCTCGTGCAGCTCTGCAGCTGGATTTACTTTTACAAAGCGTCGCCATTAAATCAGTGTTTGGCCTCTCGGCTTTGAAGAGGGAAGTTCAAAGAGGAAAAGAGAAATGTCCGGAGGCTGTGACGGCGAGGGAGGAGTTAACATATCGAGATCAGCAGATCCGAGCTTCCACACCTTATCTTAACAAATCATATCATTGCTTTTCACCTGACACCGAACATGTGAGGCTCCACCCACACCGACTGGTTTCAGTTTCTCATCACTGTTGCCATGGTTACGCCGGCTGGAGTTCTCCAGCCTCTACACCAGAGACGTGTGAACTGGTTTTAGTTTGAAAACTCTGGGGTGTGTTTTAATCTGGACGAACACAAACGGTGACGCCCACGTTCTCTTCTGATTGGTTCTCATCAGTCACATGACTCGACTACCAGTGGTGAAGACAAAGCGTCGCTAACACTTCCTGTCAGGAACAGCTCCACCTCGTCCCTGCTCCGACTCTTCACCATCACTGTTCCTCCTTCAGAGGAGGTTCTGTTACTAAGCAACCAACTGCAGAGGAGACACTCTACTTCCTGTTTACATCACATGACCAGTGGAGGTGACCGGTCATGTGATTTTAGGTGTGTTCGTGTGGGCGGAGCCTTAGTATCAGGTGATTTTATGATTGACGGATGTAAAATGTGATAGTTGTATTTTAAACTTGTTTCTGAACATTTAATTTCCTAATGATGAAGGGAAACATCTCTATTTGATTCTTTTGTTCAGTTTAAGTCTTATTTCTTTCTCTGTGACCTTCAGTGATTTAATGAGGGACAGAGTGAAGACGTTAGTTCAGAGACAAACTATAAAAACAAACATTGGATGAAGACGTCATGTTTCTAATAATGTTCTGACTCTGCAGCTGTAACATCTGTGTCTTTGCTCCAAATAAACTGGCTTCTAACGTCCGTCCTTCATCCTGTCGTCTCCGTCTCATGACAAACTGTTGAAGTCTCATCGTCAGGTTTCAAATATAATGAAGATGAGGAGGAGAAGCTTCATCGCTGGAAGCTGTTTGACACTGAAGTCATTAATGAGGAAACAGGAAGCAGCTGCTGCCTCTGAGCTGAGCGACCACTGACGGACTGATGATATACATAGACCTGGACCTGGATCTGGATCTGGATCTGGACCTGGATCTGGATCTACACCTGGATCTGCACCAGATGTCCAGTCCTGTAATGTTGGTTCTTTCTCACTGGGTCTTCATTTGAGTTAAATCTGATAGAAACATTTGATCTTTAATCACAAAACGTTCCTCAATGAGACTGAAGAGCATCAACTGCTGAAACCTGTATTCTGTGTAATGGCCAGCAGGAGGCGACTCCACTGGTTGTTTCTATAGAAGTCTATAGAAAATGACTCCTCTGTTTATAACGTCAGTAAACATGGATGATGGAGGTCAGAGTCCAGCTGGTACTAATGTCACAGACAGAAATAAAGAGGGTCCTCTGGGTGTTTTATGCTTTAACACATTAACTAATAATGAGAGAGAGAGGCAGGGAGGGAGAGACAGAGAGAGAGACAGAGAGAGAGA